ATTTTCTGATTTCAGAATGGAGATATACACATAAAACTTCAAGCAATACACATTTTTATTTTTTTGTTTATTTTTGAGAGACAGAGAGAGAGAGAGACAGAGGTGAGTGGGAGACGGGCAGGAAGAGAGGGAGACACAGAATCCGAAGCAGGCTTCAGGCTCTGAGCTGTCAGCACAGAGCCTGATGCGGGGCTCAAGCCCACAAACGGTGAGATCCTGACCTGAGCCAAAGTTGGATGTTTAACCAACTGAGCCACCCAGGCACCCCTAAGCAATACAAATTTTTAAAAAGTAAATTAAGCCCCCTATCTTCTCAGACCTCAAATAATCACCATCAACTATTTAATGTATCTTCTTCCAGATCTACACAAAAATTTACAAATGATTTTTCTAAAAATTTGCAACTTATGAATAATTTTTTCTTTATTCACTTACTAATTTATTGTGAACTTTCTTGTGTTTAGAACATCAATATCTTCTGCATTCTACTTAACAGCTTCATATTCCATTGTTACCATAAGTTAGTGCCATACTGATGAAATTGGGGTTGTTTCCAATTTTTTATCATTTCAAACAATGCTGCAGTTAGCATGCTTGTGCATTTAGCTTTGAATGCTTGTGTAACTATTTCCATAGGATAAATTCGTAGAAATGGAATCTGAGTCAAAACTATGGATACTTAGAGGCATCTGCGTGGCTCAGTTGGTAACGTGTCCGACGATTTCAGCTCAGGTCATAATCTCACCCGGGTGAGATCAAGCCCTGAGTTGAGCTCCGCGCTGAGCATGGAGCCCGCTTGGGATTCTCTCTCTCTCCCTCTCTCTCTCTCTCTCTCTCTCTCTACCTCTCTCCTGCTGGTGCTCTCTCTTTCTCTCAAAAACAAAAAAACAAAAACAAACAAAAAAAAAACCCCAACTATGTACATTTAAAATTTTGGGGCGCCTGTGTGGCTCAGTCAGTTAAACATCCAATTTCAGTTCAGGTCATGATCTCACGGTTCGTGGGTTCGAGCCCCGCATTGGGCTCTGTGCTGACAGCTCAGAGCCTGGAGCCTGCTTCAGATTCCGTGTCTCCCTCTCTCTCTGCCCCTCCCCTACTCATTCTCTGTCTCTGTCTCTCAAAAATAAATAAACATTTAAGAAAGTTTAAAAAAACACCCCTGAATAATCTTTTCCCCCATCCTTAAAATACCACCTTTATCATATATATGCTAAATTCTCATGTGCATTTGGAGCTATTTCTGGATTCTATTCTGATGGGTGTGCCAGTCCTGTACCAATCTCAGTACACTGTGCTTTTATTTCAACTTTTAATATTTGGTAGGCCAGGTTCCCTTGTTAGTTATCTGTTTCAGAATGTTCCAGTTTTTCTCATTATCATTCTGGATGAACTTTTGCATTGTTTTGTCAAGTTTCTCAACTTATCCTTTTGGAATTTAGACACTGCATTGAATTCATGGGTTTAGGGAAAACTGACATCTTTTATATTGCGGTCTTTTCACTGACAACAAGTTATTGCTCTGCTTATGCAAATATTCCTGGTTTAAGTAACTCAAAGGACTTTAGTTTTATTTATTTAAAATTTTTTTTTAATGTTTCTTTATTTTTGAGAAAGAGAGAGTGCAAATGGGGGAGGGGCAGAGAGAGAGGGAGACACAGAATCTGAAGCAGGCTCCAGGCTCTGCTGTCAGCACAAAGCCTGACACGGGGCTCAAACTCACAAACTGTGAGATCATGACCTGAGCCGAAGTCAGACGCTCAACTGACTGAGACACCCAGGCATCCCAGGACTTTAGTTTGATTGATTGATCAAATAGAAGTTCTGCACATTTCTTATTAAAGCTACTCCAAGATATTTTATGATTTTGGTTGCTCTTATAAGCAGGCTGTTTACTTACATTAATTTTCTAACTAATTATTAAAAAGGTATTGAGGGGTTCCTGGGTGTCTCAGTCAGTTGAGTGTCCAACTCTTGATTTCAGCTCAGGTTGTGGTCCCAAGGTCATGGGATTGAGCCCTGCATCAGGCTCCATGATGAGTGTAGAGACTGCTTGGGATTCTCTCTCTCTCTCTCTCTGTCTCTCTCTGTCTCTGTCTCTCAATCTCTCTCTCCCTCTGCCCCTCTCCCTGGCTTGCCCCCTCTCTCTCTCTGAGATTAAAAAAAAATTTTTTTTAAGGTATTGGAAATTGTGACATTTCTGTCAACATGGACGGGCCTTGAGGGCATTAGTCAGAGAGAAAGGCAAATACTCTATGATCTCACTTACATGTTGAATCTAAAACAGCAACAAAAAACCCAACAAAACTCACAAACATAGAGGACAGATTGGTGGTTGCCAGAGGTGGTGTTGGCCGGGTGGGCAAAATGAATGAAGATGGTAAAGAGTACAAACTTCCAGTTATAAGGTAAGTAAGTCCTGGAGTTGTAATGTACAGCATAGTGACTATAGTTAACAAGACTGCATTGTATCTTTCAAAGTTGCTAAGAGGGTCCGTCTTAAAAGTTCTCATCACAAGAAAAAAAATTGTAACCGTGTAGTGATGGAGGTTAACTACACTTACTGTGATGATCGTTTCACAATATATATTCACAATATTCACAATATATATCTATATCAAATCATTATGTTGGACGCCTGAAACTAATACAATGTTATACGTTGATATATGTCAATTTAGAAAATAAATAAAAATGTAAAAAGCTATTGCCTGTTCATATTTTCTTAACGCTTATCTTCATCCACACTCTCCTGTATAAAACTCAGTCTCAGCCCTGAGTATTATTTCTGTATTGATGACTCCTACTATCTACAGTTTTCTCATCTCTCCCAAACTATTGTCATTTCTTCTCTAAGTCGGTGTTTCCCAAATTCCAAAATTTCTCATACTCTGTCATAATTTTCCATATTCTGTGTATCATACCTGTACCATTATTTAACATTCTTCTTTAAACCAACTCATTAGAAATAAATTTAGCCTCATCTTGTGCAACAATATCCATGAAATAACAAATACTTTCATGTGCCTGGTTATAATTTCTCTAATAGGAATGAAAATAAATAGAAAACTGTTAAAGCTTTTTAAAAAAAATGTTCTTCTTGGGGTGTCTGGCTGACTCAGTCGGTAGAGCATATGACTCTTGATCTTGGGGTTGTGAGTTCAAGCCCCACGTTGGGTGTAGAGATTACTTAAAAATAAAATCTTTTTTTTTTTTTTTAAAGAAAAAAAAAATGTTCATCTTCAGATTGCTTAAAAACATCTCTTGTGCCATCCACCACACTGTTCTAGCTGGTAACAAACCTTTCAGCCTGGATATTAACCATTGCTTCCAATCCAAAATTCTTCCCTCCAAAGAATCTTGCTTTGCTCTGTCAAGGTGCTCATTACCCAATCATAGGAGCTCCAAACTTGGGCTTCAAGGATCCCCCCTTTGGCTCCTTCATTCCCCACCAGGGGCTGTTCTTTCAGCTGCATCTTACAAACTGTCCCTTGCCCTCCATTCTCCCAGACACTTTTTATCCTCTCCCGTGATTGCTTCTTGAGGCTGAGCATCTTGCTTTGATGCCCATCTCTCCGAACCATCTTCATCATGGTTGACTCATTGCCCGTTGCTTTATTTACACACATTGCCTGCCCCACCTCCATCTCCTACTCTTCTGCAGATAATCATACTGTGACCTTGGGACGGTCCCTCCTCCCCCTCGCTCATCCAAACCTTACCTGTCCTTTTAGGCTCACTTTCCAGGAAGCCTTAGATTACTCCAGCCACTCCCAGCCCCCTTACTGCTGTAGCACTGTCCGGTGTTGTCCCAGGTGTCTCCTCCCCCTGAGTAGACTATAAGCTGCTTGAGGGCAGGCTTCAGTCTGAATATTCCTTCTGTATGAGTGTATTGCCAAACACATATCAGATGCTGGCTCAGTAAATGCTTGCTGAATCACAGCATGGTGGCATTCCCAAAGACTTACCTCAAACTCCACCTCTCCCTGTTACTTGTCACAGCCACTCACCCCTCCCTGCACCACCTCCAACTCCCACCAACCATGAGGCAAGAGGGAAAAGAAACAGGTGTAAGAAAAGCGGAGCACACTGAAATAGAAGAAGCCAGTTCTAGGATCGTTAGTCTTTTAATATATTATTCTGAAAAGAAAGGAATTAAAAAAAAGTTCCTGACATCTCTTCTGATTTTTTAAAATTTAAATAAATACCCTACCCACCCCCCACCCGCTAAAATGTCCCTCCTTCCCCATCATCCCGCCCATCCCTGGTGCTAGACCCTCACCCCAGAGCTAAATAAGATGCCTGTTTCACAGCAGGCCACACTCACTACCAAATTCTGGCCATTGGTAAGTACTGTAATGAGTCTGCGGCCCTCAGCTCACCGGAGCCCCTCCCTCCCTTCTCTCACTGGGCTCCCCACTCCAGACTGATCCCCAGCTTGGGGGTGGGCGCGGATGGTGGGGCCTTCAGGCATTGGGGAGAGCGCCAACTTGGTTCCCTTTAATTGCCCACCATTGTCTGCTCCCTGCCCAGGAGTAGGTCAGAAGGGCCCAGAATTGCCCTCCCAACTAAAATAAATAATGAAATAAATACCCCCTCCCCACTCCCGGCTCTTATAAAAGAGCCCCTCTACCTCACACTCTAGCCCCGTCCTTCACTTGACCCGCCCTCCTTCCTCCCTTCCCTTCCCTCCTCCCCCACGATGACTTCTGGCTTGGCCTTTGCCCTCTCAGGAGGAGGAGTCTACCTCGCCCAGCTGGGAGAGCAGCGGAGGCCCTCACTTCCAACCTCAAACAAACCCTCCTCCCCCAAATCTCAGGGGGCGCGGCTGGCTCCCCAAGCCCGGTGGGCCTGGCGCACTCCCCGTCTCCGGGGGTTAGGGTGGAAGGCAGGGGTTCTCCCTGGCTTTCTCTCACCTGGTCCTTCAAGTGTCCCTCTTTCAAGGCAAGTCTCTGGCACCCCCGCCCCGCTCCCCAGTCCGGTGCCCCGGCCTCCCGGCCTCCTCAGATGGCAGTGTCCCAGAGGACCGTGTGCTGCCGGCGGCAGGGTGGGGTGCCGGACTTGCGGGGCTCGGGCCCCCGCCGCCAGCTGGGGAGGATGGGCATGCTCTCCTGCTTGCAGAGGCCTCGGTCGGGGCGGTGGCGGGCCTTGATCTCCTTGCACACGCAGCGCTTGCGCTCTATCACCTCCAGCAGCTTGCCATCGCGCTCACGGGCAGGCTGAGGCGGTAGGGGCAGCGGCAGCGGCAGCGCGGGGTGGGTCTGTGGCCCTTCCTCCCGCCGCCGGCCCGCGACGAGGGGAGAAAGGAATGAGGGGGGGGGGTCAAGGACCTCGGAGTGACCAGGTCCTGTCCCCCACTGCAAAGACCGATGCCTTTCCCCAGAAACAAGTTCATGTCATGCCCCCCAAGGCCTCTGTCCTCTCCCCTCTAGCTGGGGGTGGGGAGTGGGTGACAGGAACCCAGCCCTTGCACCCTTGGCCTCACAGGGTACCGGCCAGGCTGGGCCTGTCTCACCCTGAGGAATGGGCACCTTTAACAAACTGCAGAATGCATTTTTTGAGTTGGTCCCGCCCCATCCCACCCCAAAGAGACACCTTTTCCTAAATGCACAGAGGCACACAGCAGGCCAGTGGTGGCCCTGCCTGGCTGTCCATCTGATTAACACAGGCTCTTCCCAGGATCACTGCCTGCCCCCCTGCCCCAACTCTCCTCTGAACCCCTATTAGACTGTGCCAGCCCCAGGCTGACCTCCTACTTTTCTTTCCATACCCAGGCTTTCTTCTCTACCTGCTCCTTCACAAATAAAAGAAAACCCAACTCCGTCCTCCTCCTCCTCACCTGGCTTGGGGCATCCCTAGGCTGGCTGCAGGGCCGGGGTGTGTGGAGCGCGGCCTGCCGGACTCCAGAGGTGGAGGCGGAGCGCCCCAGGCGGTAGCCTCCCGTGAAGTCTGAGGTGGAAAATGAGAAGTGAGGAGGGGTCGGGGCCTCCAGGTTCCCTTCCCAAAGTTCCCAGAGGGCAGCCCCTTCCAGGCTGCCCAGGACTCAGCAGAGGAGGAAAGGGAATTGACATGTGGTGGTAAAATGGAGGGCCTGGGACATGGACCCAGAGAGATTTCCCCCATCCAGCCCCATCTGTGTCCGGGTGTGGGAAGGGTGTCACCTCCATTGCGGTGGCAGGCAGGAAACGTCTGGCAGGGTATGGGCAGCGCTGTGCGGCTCCCTCCTCGGTCCCCTCCGTGGTGGATCCTGGCCAGCAGGCCCTCTGCCCCCTGACTCCTCACCGGGATCCCTGATGCCATAGGGCCCCTGTCCTCACGCTCCACCTTGCCTGGACCCTCGGCACTGCCGTTCCAGGCCCGGGCACCATCCTCGATCTCTGCTGGGATGACAAGGGGAGCTCAGTGCCTACACATGAGAAGGCTCTTGCTGTCCCCCCCAGCAACACACACCATGGCATGCAGGAACCAGAAGTAACTGCCCCTTTAGAAGTCACAGCTGGGAAGGCAGGGACCCTACCTCACACTGCCCACACACACACACACACACACACACACACACACACACACACACAGGACCCCATTACTGCCACTCTCCTTTCCACCCACTGGTACCATCCCTGGGCTGAGAATCAGATATTTGCTCTTGTCAAACCCTTTTCTGTGGTCAAAGGGGGACTCCCCTGCCCCAGCTTTGGCCCCAGAGCCCCTCCTGGCCTGATAGGGCCAGAATGACCACCATCTGAAACAGAGACCAGGAGCCCTGGTCTTCCCCAGGAGGGGGAGATCCCAAATCCTGAGCCAGGAAGTGGGAAGGGGGAGGTTATTGGGGGAAGGGCTGCAAGTGAACTAAGCTCAGCTCCAAGAGGAGGCCTGGCAGAGCATTGCGTTGCCAGGCAACGGTAGGGGCCTCCCTCTCCTCTCCCTCCTGTCTGGATGGGTTGCCATGGCAACAGCTGGGAGGCAGCTGTGTTTAGCCCTTCGTGTGCGCACACTCACAAACACACACCCCTGCAGCCCAGCAAAGGGAAGGGCAGGGAGTAGAGCAGGACCGGGCAGGAGGCTACTCTTGGGGCCAGATTCCAGCCCCTTCCCATTGCAGATCTTCCTTGCCCCTCCAGTGAACATGTGGGGACCCCCTCCCCTCAGTCTCTTGCATGCCCTTATTCTCTGGTCTCCTTGAAAACTTCCCACTTCAGGACAATGGGTTGTGGCTTCCAAGTAACCCTTCCAACGCTTCCCTGAAATCATCACGGGCATCCCCAGTCCCCCACCCCCAAATTCCTACCCTTCACTCACTGTCCAGCTCTTTTGCCTTCCTCCCTCCATACAGGACCTTCCTCTGTAGAGCCCAGCCTGCCCCAAATGTCGTGGCGCCCATCTCCTCTTCTTCCTCCTCTGGTGTCCCTGCACTGGCGATGACGTGGGCGCAGGAGATGCTGGCAAAGGCACCCCCATCGGTCCCTTGCTCCTGAAGCTGGATCTTGACCATGGGGGATGGGGCCCCCATTCCACAGCCCTTATTCAGCACCCCCCCAGCCTTGAGGCTCTCATAGGCAGGGGGTCTCTTGAGCCCAGCTGCTGCAGCTGGGTAGGTCCAGAGGGGAGTCAGGGGGCCTGCGGTTGGGTCCGGAAGGCTGTGCGGGGAGGCCAGGCAGCCACGATGGTGGAGGACCCCAGCTGCTGCGCCCATGGCCCCGCTGTGGGGGCTGGACTTCCCAGGCACTGGGGGCCTCGAGCTGGTGCACAGCATCCCATGGAGGACTGAGATCTCCTTCTCCGTCTTTGGCTCCCCAGCACCCAGGGGCGGACCAGCTGGCAGGACGGAGTGCGTGGTCACCTTGACCGCCGAGTACACCATGGTGTAAGACACAGCCTTGTCCTTGGGGGGGCCAGGGAGCAAGGCGGCTGGGGCAGGAGGGGCTGCCGGCGCCCCTGCCGCCTTGGGGCAGATCATGCTGTGGGAGTTGGGGAGCTCCCGCTCCCCCCGGGGCTGGCCAGAGCCCTGGGGTGGCAACGGTGTTGAGTGGCTCCGGGCCCGGCCTGAGGGTCCCAGCAGCAGCAGGTTGGCAGCAGGAGGCGGAGGCGGCGGGGGAGGCGTCTCCCGCTCCCGGGCAGGCACTTGGGGAGCTGGGGTGGAGCCCGCTGGCTCCTTCGAGTGGCAGAGGACCGGTAGCCTTGAGACCCCATCGCCAGGGGTTCGGGAAGCAGGCTTGGCTTGGGGGAAGGCCAGGAGCGGAGGACGGTGTTGGAGGAGGTTGGGGAAGGGTGGGGGGATTTCACAAGGAGTGGTCTTGGTAGGTGTCCCATCCCTCCGGCTTGGGAGGGCTGAAGCTGGCCGGCGGTGGGTGTGGGGCTGCAGGGCCTGAGGCTGGTGTGGCGAGGAGGTTGCGGTCAATGGAGGGGCCCCATTGGCCCGGCCTTCCCCTGCCTCCTCGGGCAGTGGGTACTTCATCTCCTCGTATATAGCCTCGCTCTCCTCCGAGTCCGAGTCGGCACCAGCTGGAGGGGTCGGGCCTCTGCCCCCAAGAGGGGGCCCAGTCAGGCCCCCTCCACTTCGCCCTCCTCCCCTGAAGACATCCCCCACCATCTCAATGTACACGGGCTCCTCTTCCTGGGCACCCACCTCAGGGTCCCCAGCTACACAGGACCCCCTACTGAGGCGCTGAAGGGGCAGATTCCCCCCTCGAGGAGAGGGAGCTGGGGGGCAGGACTCATCAAAGGAGACAGAGAGCTGAGTGTTGGGGCTTCGCCTGGGCTTCTGCGGAGGAACCTTCCGGCTGGACTCTCGGCCCTCTGGGGTTGGCTTCTGTGAGCCTGGGCAGAATGGGAAAGAGAAAAATAAACTGGGCTCTTAGTGGGGGAAGGAGATGGGCAGACCCCCTCTCATCTCTTACCCCATCTGCAAGGACATATCTGCCTCTTTATTTCCCCCACGTTCCTCAACTTAAAGCACATAGGTTCCTTTGCTACCAGCCAGCTCTATCATCCTTCCAATGAACTCCCTGGAATCTGCAGCTCCCACCCTAAATTCTGTTCCACCTTCACGTGTCCCTTCCAGGCCACCCCCTCCCCAGGAATGGGCTTTTCAGGGAGCTTCCCCTACCCTTGAATGGTTCATCTCAGGCCCTTCCAAAAAGAAACAACCCTCCCCCCACTCCCTCTGAGAATGGAACCTTCCATTTCCTTGGTTCTTCCCTGAATGGACCCTCCCCTGTAGGCCTCTCTTGGCCTGGAATGGATCCTCCCAGCTCCCCCAGCTCCCGGGAAGGGTTGGGGGTATCTCACCTGCTTTCTTGCCTGGGGGCATGTCTGCCCCCGACCCTGCCATGCTGAGTTTGGTGCTAGGATGTCTCCGGGGCTTGGCAGGGGGTCTTCGGGCACTGCTGTCCTCTGTGAGACCCCCACCTCCCCCCCCAGGCCCAGCCCCAACACTGTCCATGCTGCCCACTGAATGGCAAGAGAGTGAGCGTGGGGCCATGGCGCTGCGGCAGGGGTGGGGGGTGTGCTCCTGGGAGGCTGGCATTGTCATGAAGCCCATCCTGAGGGAGCGGCGCAGCGAGGCGATGTCCCGCACGCGGACCCCAGGCCCTGGGCCGGCCCCCGGCCCTGCGGAGCCTGCAGGGGCCACCTCCTTACTGGAGCTGGAGAGAGAAAGATGGAACAAAGGTTGGGCCTCAGGCCTGGGCCTCCCCCTCCTCTACCGTAAGAGGGGTGTGCAACCCTGTGGCCTCCAAGGAGGAGGAGGAGGAGGAGCAGCCTCGAGGAGAAGGAAGAGGAGGAAGGGGCCTGGGGTGGGGATGGGAGGCTGCCCGAAGGTCCAGGGCACTAAACTAGAAACATCAGGCAGAATCCCTAGGCTTTAAAAAAGACAAGGAGATTGGGGAGGAGAGGCGAGCAGGGATGAGAGAAGCGATGAGTATGTGTGCAGAGGAGTATCGCTGGAGCTGTGTGATCCCAGCCTGGGCATATCTGGCACACGGCACTCGTGTGGACGGCTTCATGCACAGGTAGAGAGATGCACACGCAGGCAGCACAGCCCTGTCTGGCACATACACCTGCCATCACGGCCCTGCTCCTCCCAGGCTCACGCTGGCCCACACCTGGTCTCTGGCCTCCCGTCACGTCCGGCTACCACGGCCTGTGCTCCCACACCACACCGCGCCTCCATTCCCAGATGAGGGCCGTACAGCCGCATCGGCCTCCTCCTGCTGATCCTTTTCCTCCCTTCCCCTCTCTCTTCCTCTCTCTCGGTGCTGTCCTTTCTGTCAACCTCCCAGGCTCACCCCCATTCCCTTTCACTGTCCCTGAGCTTCTGTGTGAGTGAAGGGAGGGGCGGCTGGCAGGGAAAAGGGGAGAGCCACTGTGGGGTGGGCTCTCATTAAGGCCCTGTCTACTAACCCTTCATTAGGGAGAGATCACTGTAGTCATAGCTCTGATTAATCTAATTAACAAAAAGAATTAAACTCCACAGTTTCAAGGAGGGAGAAGGGAGCAGGGAGGTGGCTCTGACTCAGGCTCCAAGAGGCTGTGCAGTCAATGGGAATGAAGAGAGAGGGGAGCGAGAGCGGAGAGGCCAGGATCCAGGTCCCTGGGAGGGCAAGGAGAGAGGGCAAGCAGGGAGAGGTCCCCAGCCCTGGCTCTTCTGCAGGACCCAGCCTTCACGTCTCCCACCACACACACACACACACACACACACACACACACACACACACACACACAAACCCTGTCGCTTGGCCCCCTCATCTCCCCCAGCAGGGGAGGCTGGGAGGGGGGCAAATGGATCTTCTCTGGTGCCCCTGAAATGACTCAGTCCCTGGACCATGAGGGTAGCAGGGTCTGCCCCTACCAAGGTCAGGTGACAGGGACGCCTGGAGCCAGCCCCACATTGACAGAAAGGAGACTACAGGCCAGAGGTGAGTCAGGAAGGGGTGACTCGGGCCTCCAGGGGTGGGGAAGAGCCAACAGGGTGCTCCTGAGCCAGAAGCCCCCCATGAGGCCAGGACGAGGGCTGGAGCCAGGAGCCAGGAGCAGGGTGGGGACAGGGTGTATGCAATGCCAGCAATTCTGTACTGAGCATAGACTCTAAGATCAGACTCATGACGAGGCTGTTGGAGCCAGGAAGGGCAGAGGGATGTGGTCCAGCCACCGGGGAAGCAGAGGTGTGGGACAGCCCAGAGGGCAATCTGGGACCGCAGCCTTACCTCCTCTTGGCCTCCTCCTCCTTGTGCTGCCTCCACTCCAGCTTGGTTTTTCGGTAGAGGAGGTTCATGTCGTGGGGCAGGAGGTGGGGGCTGGGGGGCCCTGCTCAGCGCCACCAGGCCCGGGGGGCGGCCCTCCCTGGGTCCCGGATCCACTTGGTGGAGATGAGAAGGAAAAAAAGGAAGATGTGGGGTGGGTGGGGGCCAGGAATGAATGAGAGAGAGAGTGAGAGAGAGAGAGAGAGGGAGAGAGAGAAGCGGAGATGTGACTTGGGTCCTCAGAGAGTGGAAAACAGATGGAAGCACAGAAAACCCAACACTGCCTCTAGGACCCGTAGACAGACAGACATAGGAGGACATGTGTACACAGAGTCACACACCCTGACAAAGATGTCCAGAGCCACAAACACACATTCTGGAGAGATCAGCTCGACACAGATTCCCATCCTGTAAATACATCCTGATCTACCACACAGACAGGCCCCACAAATGCACAGCAACCCCACAGCCACACAAACACACATTCAGACACACAAACCACCAGGCCACAGAACCCATATCTACAAACAGAGGACCAGACACATAGATCGGCATGGGTAAACACAACCTAGCATCAGGCAGACACATACAGACATAAACACCCCCGACACACCCACAGCACACAGAGACCTCCAGACACACACAGATCGGCTACACAGAACTGGACATACCTACAGACAAGGAGTTATACTGGGGCCTATTTGCGTACATCGCACCCCACAGGGGAAGGGGGGACAGTCTGAATCCCCACCCCGTCTTGGGCCCCGAGGCAGGGGGTGTCATGAGGGCAGGGTGGGGATGCTGGGGAAGGGGTGGGGGCACTCCAAGTTGGGTATCTACAATACTACCCAAACATCTATTTCCATTCCCTGCGGGCAGGTCCCCCTTCCGGTCCTCTTCCTGGGCCCGGGCCTCGGTCCACCCCTATTCCTGCAACCCTGGCCCCTCGGTGACCGTCTCCACCTCTCTCCATGATGGCCCAAATCACCTTCTTCCTCCTCCAGGATCTGGGAGGCTCCCGGCTTCCCTCTTCCAATCCCTGCCCTCAATCCCACCCGCGGGGTCTCTAGTCTGGCCCCACAGCTACCTTCTGAGCTGCGGCCTCCATACCTGCTTTGGTTTCCCTCCCCCCAAACATACTCTCCTTTTCACCGTCGGCCTCACCTCTCCTCCTAGGCGCCCCTCCTCACTGCCGTCCTCTCCCTTCCCTGTTTGTTCCAAACCTGGCGGCTTCATTCCCCTCTCCATCCAAGGGCCCCAGGTTCCCGGGCACCCCTCCCCTTCCCCTTGTCCTGCTACCCTGGGTTTCTCCGTCTCTCGCCCCGCCAGTCCTCACTACTCCCTGTCCCCCCATCAAACCTCCCCGCACCAAGGCTCCCCAATTTCCACATCACCGTACCTGGCCTGCCGGGCGCCGGCCCCCCCATGCCGGGCTCCGCCCGGAGCAGGAGGAGGGAGGAGGAGAGACAGAGAGAGACCGGGGGGAGCCGAGCTGGGCCCTGCCGCAGAGACAGCCCCGCCTCCGGGTCCGCCCCCAGACCCGCCCCCGGCCCCAAACCCACCCTTCCACACCCTCCAAGGACGGAGTGGGAGCGGCCGCGCCGCGCTGCGCCGCCAGGCTGGGGTGGGAGGCACGGGGGACGCCGAGCCCGCGGAACCTGCGGGGGGGGGG